ACCTGAGTTTTGGAAAGTCTGGAGGCAGATATTTGTGGTTTAACCAACTTGAAACAGAAACTGGGCCACAGTTTGTCGTCCGTCTTAACGGTGCCAAATGAAAAAAAATCCCCTTTGTAAAGTGACTCGTGTTTCTTGTGGTAGCACACTCTTCCCCTCCCTTCTCTTTTTCTCAAACGAGCTACAAAAGATCAGTTTTTTGGCACATGAAATTATCAATTAGTATTTTCTCTGCAGCAAGAAATCCAATGATTATTAATAATTAGACATGAGCTCACTGAAGACTGAGCACCCGTGGTCATTATCTCAGACACAATGATGCATTTTGAGAACATCCTACACAGTCCTTTCCGTGCCAAGTTCCTTGTTTTAGTCTGAACTTGGACGGGGTACAACTGTCGAACCCTTGTGAATCGTGACTTGATGTAAAAACGTACAATTTTCTGCAAGAAACAGCAGATCAAAAATAACTGATGCAACATATTAAATTGGACAGGAAATGTCTCTGAAGCACAGGGGATCTTCATCTTTTTTTCCCTCCTCTCCTCCCTTATAACCCCCCTCTGTAATTAGTGCTTTTCCAGTTATTCCAGCAATGTTTTCATCAGTGTGTAGCTTTGCTAGAGAGAGTGAAACGGGGAGAGAGGAGCTCCTCTGTGGCTGTTAATAGTTCTCATCTCTCCCCTGGACTCTCCTTTAATTGCTCTGCTCTGCCTGCAGGGTCATCATTACTCTGATCAAGTGCAACTCTGTTTTTCTCTGCTTTTCATGAATATCATTTTGCAAAAACAACTGCTTTGAGGTTCCTCAGGCAGGAGATCAAATTTGATCACCTACCTCTATGTTGCAGTATAGTCAGTGAGTGTTCTTGGCATTAGCAGGACACAATATCGCTACATGCGGGGCTTTCAAGTCTTCAGCAGATTTGACATCCAAAACACTTTGAAGTGATGTTTTCTCGTTTACCCGCTTTAATCAAGCAAAATGCCTTTCATGGTTTTGACAGCACATGGTCAGAGAGCATAGATTAATTCTGCAACTATGTGAGATTGTGGAAGGTCCTGAAATCCTCACATTTGTATCATACTTGCCAAAAGGAGCTCAGTTCCCCCGGTTCCTCTTTCTAATTGCTCTGCTCTGTCTCTTGGGTTATTATTGCTCTGATCGAGTGCAACTACATTTTGGAGCTATTTTTCAAGTCATTTAGCAGGAATAGTAGCTCTGCTTTTTCCTGCACAATAGGATAATGATGTCTACAGTATTTTAAGTGTATAATTGTGTGCAGAGAATAAAAACAGAAGCAGGAAGGGAAAGGAAACATCAGACTCTCCAAATAAACAGAAAATTATTGAATATTATTATTTGACAAAAATTAAAAGCATATGCTGATCATGTCAAATGAAATAGACTAAAATTTAACACACTAGCAATTATTCTTGACTTGATCTCGGCTGAAATCTAACAATTTAAAAAAGGAGCACTTCCCTTTCATAACAGCTGATACAAAGAAAACTGTAGACCTGTCTTTGCAAAATCTTCACCACCTCCACTTGTGATTATATGCATTAAGAGGCTAGAATAGATCTCACATCCTCTTGTCAGTCAAAGGTTTGCATTTAGACTAACATCACCTATTGATTCCCTCCAGCTACAGAATGTCAAGCCTTGACATTTAACATCACAAAGGTTTTATACATCATCAGAAAGGTGATTACAGTCATGTTGGAGGTGCCATATTTAAAGCACCAAACAGATGGTCTTTGATGTTTTTGTATATATGCTAACCTGATGGAGAACTCGAAATGCTCAGGGGCAGCAGAGAGACAGTAGGCATTGTTGTTTGTGAAAATAATGAGATTAAAAGGCCATAAAATTTTCCTCTAGACAAGAAGAAATATAAAACAGTAGGGGAAAAAACGGTTATACTTAAGTCATTTTACTTTGTTAAACACAACCATCACAGGCACCAACACAGTTAAACCAAAACTCTCTCCACATATCTCGTGACAGAAACTGCCATGTTGTTTGTCAAATGGTAGTCGATCGTGCAAACTGTGTGTAGTGTGCAATCCAGCATGCAGGAGTTCTCAAATAAACAAGTAGATCTTCAAATATGGAGAGGCTTATCTCTCACTCTCATTCCCTTGATGTTTTCTAATTCGAGCGGTCTCACCAGTGTGCTTGTGAATACAGATTTTTAGAGAGTAAACAGTCTAAAACTTTGTACCATCTCAAGAAGCTAACATCTGCCTGGGCAGCGTTTGCCATTGGATTAGAAGTCATCTGACGCACGTTATACCGAGTAAACAATGAAAAATTTGTTTGGCAGGTTGAACTCTCTCCAGCATTCCTTGCACTTAAACTGCACAGGGAAGCAGGTGGGGCAGATCTGTGTAAGAAATTCACTCTCAAATTATATTTGCACAACACATGCTATATATGAAAGAAGGGGTTCACTTGAACACAAATACAGTCAGAGCACGAAGTAAAAATAGGCAGAGGTAATAAAACAAGCATCTAATGTGATGAATTTGATCATGTTTGTATTTTTTAGTCTTCCACAAGGATTGACTCACTTATGTCTGCTGTTGAAGGTGAATTATTATATTACAAATGCATCCATTGGTACATACAATACAACCCAATGTGTGTATCATACAATCAAACCAAAGCAGTCGTGTCTACAGTGTGACTGGCTAACTGGTTGATTCAAACTAAAGTGTTTAAGGACAGCGCTCTCAAAAGTGGCTTTATTATTTTCTTTTATTCAACAGTAAGCCTTGTAACAATATCTTGACTATTTTTCTGACTATCAAAAAACAGTCTCTTGCTTTTTACTCACCACAGAAGAGCAGTTAGAAGGACAAAAAGCAGCAATATTCTCACACTGAGCTGTCTGTCTGTTGGAAAATTGGTATTAAAGACTCTGTAGTGGTTATATACTCACTGAGATAAAATTTCACTGTCAAAGATAATATAGGAACAAATATCACTTTTAAATCCTACATATGCAGCAAACGCATGTGAATACAACACTGCAGATCTACGGGGGACTCATCAATGTGATCCCCTGACTACTTAGTCATTTCAAACCCGATTTAGAAAATCTGACACGTGAACCAAAAATGATCTGTACATTTAAGGGTCTTGTTCCTGTTCCCATCTGGATATGTGTAAAGCCAAACTGAAGTCAACCAAGAGATTTTACTCATAAAAACATTTAAAAATCAACTGGGTTTGTAAAATATATATGAGGGTTAAACAGCTCCTTCTGCAGGGAACAATTATCTCAAATATATGGCTCAATATGTTAACTCTCACCATTTCCTCTTAATGAGACTAAGGATTAATACTAACCCTAAACAATAAACATCATCACCCACTCCTTGTGATATTGTGAAAAATTAATTGGTTGTCTGCACTCTTGACTGTATGTGGATGTTTTGTGTGTTAGTGTGAGTGTGAGTGTGCGTGTGCGTGTGTGTGTGTGTGTGTGTGAGTATATAGAAGGTTATCTAAGATACCTTTTCTTCCGCATCTTGTCTAAATCCTGTTAGGATTGTAATTATTTATCAAAGGTATCACACTGGGAGTAGGTCATGGCTCTTGCTCTGTAATAAATACAGAATACAGATATTACCATAGGATTTTATAATAAGCCTCAGGGTGAAGGGAAAGGATTGAAAAGATGACCGTGATGAATGAACAAACATGTTAGACTGTAAATTGCTTCCATTAAAAAAAATTGTGGTACAGGCAAGCATACTAGAATAAGAGGTTTGTATATATTCTTCAATGAAACGGTAGTCGGTCGACACATGTACAGCAGGATTATAACCCAGTCTGCCAGATTTAAGGTATCAGAACAGTCCTTTTATCCTGGAGTGATGCTTTGGACAGTTCAAGACCTCCTAACGTTTTTATTTCCTCGTGTACAATGTGTGTTGTCTGTCAGTTTCAATCAAGTCGCAGCACAAATTCATTGCTCTGGGATTTCTTAGTTCAACACAGTGACAACAAAACAAGTTGTGCAGTCTGACCTCTGCATAAACCTCCTTTTGCATCAACATTTGTATCTCAAATCAAACCTTTGCAATCAAGCTCTGGCTCATGAATAACAGTGAACAATATATGACAATGCCATTGTTTTATCCAAGAAACAATGGGATGGACAACAAAAGCCACCACAAAGATTACTTTTTGTGGAAATGTTCCAAAGAAATGAAAATGTACACGTGTATGTTTTACCTAAAATCTATAACTTTTATGTGAAATATTTAAAATAATTACAAGCTGTTTTAAAGACATTTTCAACAGCTCATCTAAGAACTTTTGGTGCTGCTTTGAAATTGATCAAAATCAATACCTTTTTAGGTAATTTAAGTAATTCACACCGTTCATGTTTTTTCTGTTCTGTTGTTGTTTTTGTGTCTAAAAATGCTCCTGGATTGGTAGGTACCAGATTGAGTTATTATCTTCATGTTACTAATCCAGCACTGTTAACATTTTTGTCAATAAATAATTCCTTTGACAGTGAAAAGGCAGCAGGATGGAATTCTAATCAGAAAGCACACCTTACACGAGTGTAAGGGAAAGTCACTTAAGACATCTGATGTACCACTTTGTCCACAGGGGCACCAAAACTGATTTTTAAAAGCTTCTTTAAATCAATAGTCTGCATTATAGGAGGTAGAAAGAAAGTATCAAGTGTGATTTAAGTATAAACTTAACTTCATTTTTATGAAAATCACATCCCTGTGTGCATGATGGGGAAAAAAAAAAAAGGGTGCTTCACTTTAGTTCATGAAAAACTGAGAAGCCTTGAAAGCTTGTGGAAGTTATGCTTTATGGATGAGGACTGTAGCTACAACAGTCAAGTCACTTTACCAATAGCAGGTGACATTTAACACATAATGTTGAACTCGGGAGGTAGAGAATGTGTTTAACTCAAAACCACAACAAATCTTGATCACTGCCAGTGTTTCTTTAAATGATAATGTGCCTGCTCTGTATCTCTTGGCACCACACCCCTATACTGATATAAAAAACACAAAAAAAAACAAAAAAAAAAAAAAAACTGCTGGTTGTGTCTAAATCAAACAACCAATCAGGATCAGCTTGCATGGAACAAGCCAATCACAGTGACTGTGAACAAACTTGCATCATCTGGCTTCTAGGTGAGTTGTGTCTGTTTCTCTCCTTCACCAACTTTCTCCTTGTTGCAGTGGGAGAACAGCTGTGCAGCATGCATCAGTTACTGCTTAATCACATTTTTGGCATGTATTTTTCAGTCTGTTTCTGCCCTGAGTCCGATAGTCCGAAAGTTTGCTTGACAGGGGCATGCATGACCGGTGGGTGGGAGAGGCCAACCAAAGTGATAAAAGTTTTTTTTTGTTTTTTGATATTTGATATAATATTTCTCCCTGTAAGTCTATGACATTTGAAAAATGTGTATAAGCAAGGTTCATCATACAGTGCTTTCAAATAAGATTTTTATAATCTTCATTTCAGCAAATCATATGATTAAAGGTGCATTTCAACTGAAAGAAGCAGTGGTTCACGAGCTTATTTTTCTGAGCAAAAAGACACTCACATACACTTGACATATATATTTCTGATAACAATACACACAGGAGGATCCCAAAGAAAGAAAGTCAATAAATCAAGATTCAAACAGAACCTGCCAATCAGATCACCTCCCCTCAGGTCAATCTGCCAGTCATATTGGTTTCCAGGAGGTCAAGGTTCACTCAGCACAATCCTATCTTGTCAATATATCCCGGTTTATTTTCCAGTCAGCATCTGGTGTTGGAGTGTTCATGTCAGTGTGTGTGTGCGCGTGCATTTTCCCAGCAGACCTGCCAGTGGCCCTGTTTCGACAACAGATCAGTGTACAATCCAACAGGGAAGAAAGTCCGTCTATTGATCTTACGCACGGGAGACATCAAAAGATCCATAGGAGAGAGAGCAGAGGGGCTGAAGACTGAGCACGTCTGTGTAAGAGAAAAAGGGAGAGAGGAAGATCACAGCTTTCATTGAATAAGTAATATTTTTGTTAAGTATTGATTTTCTTTATGGAGGAGCACATAAAAGAACTGAAAAGAAGATTCTCGCCATCTTCCAAGATGATTGAATGGTTTTATATTTGTTTACAAGAATAAAGATTTGATTTTTACCTTTTTTTTCTCAAGCAATAATAAACAACCAGACCGAGCGGCATCCATTGCTGTGTTTGGTTGGCTGAGAGAATGATGAGATGTTGTAATGCCCTGGCAACACACACACACATGCACACGTAGATCTTGAGCGGAGTAACTTGCCAGATCTCTGGGTAGCAACACGGGCCCTGTGCCTAAAAGTCTGCGTCTGTGTGTGTGTGTACGTGTGTGTCTGTGCAGATATGTGTGTATGTGCGGGGAGATTGAGAGAGGCTGTAGGCATAATACAGCACATTTGGAAGAGGGCTTTGTGTACCAAAACAACAATTCAATTACCATTATGTTACATCAACCAGCAAAGGGCTTCAGTCTCTTCCTCTGCTAATGCACATAAACAACCCGGCTGCAGTCACTTACCCCATTCATCCTCTGTTTTTGACACATCACAGCAAAAGAAAATGTTCACCATTATGTTTATGAGGAGGGATAAGTGACACATTTAAAGACTTGATGAATAAAAGCAGGCACATGGAGAAAGCCTTGAATTAATGTGCTCCGGGGAGCTGTTACACCCTGAGCTTTACTAATAAACTTATTTTGTTGGCCAAATAGCTCCATTAAAGCACGTGAGTGGCAGCTTGTTCGTGTTTTCATCATGGTCACTGGGAAACTGTCCTCTGTTTATCAAGAACACTTGAAGCACAGGAATGTGTCACATTCACTTCAGAAGGTGATGAAGCGCAGCAGCAACCAGAGAAAACTAGCTTGTTTTGCACAGATAGTGATCAGACTACAGGAGTCTGAGAATCATACCATATTTTGAAAACAGGTGGCAACACGTACGAGAGGAAAAACTCTAACGGTATTCAATCACTGAATTCAAACATATACTAACTTCAGGATATGAAAGTTTCAGGGTATCACTCCCAACATTACTCAAAGTTATCATGCACCAATGTGCGAACAAGGCTAATATATACTCACTGTTGAATATTGAAGCCAAAGTTAAGGCCCAAAAAGGGGTCCACTTGAGGCTGTCTTCAAAAGCCAAGGAGATCCGATTAGCCCAAATAAAAATGTCAATTTTTACTGCAAAATGAGACACACTTACAGCCAAAACACAAACTAATCTTTTACTCCTTTTCTCATTCTTCACAGCTGATGTGATCTAGATAGATTATGTTAAATCCAAGTGACAAGACCTATGCAAAGATAGCGAAGTTAATTTTGCTGACAGGTGGGCATTTGTAGCCATTTGCCTAGGCTGCAACTCCACCTATAAGGCCAGGGTGGCATCTTCACCTCTTTGCTTGCTGGTAGCTTTAGCCGTGAATTAGTTGAAGTCACCATATTAAGCCATCTTTATTTCTTTAATATCCAGTGGGCAACTTCAATGAGACCTTATCCATGTCTCATACAGTTTATGCTGCAAAATCGAACCATCACAATCTCAGGAGAGGATAAAAGTGAGGCTAAAAGAATATTACATTCACTATAAAAGAAAAAAAGAAAAAAAAAAACAGACGGCCTCACAAGTGAGGAAGGTTTGATCTGGAAGACACAAGGTAATATATTGTTATGCAAACAATTCAGGCTTTAACAAAAAGCTGTAATAATTTTTAGTGGCAATATGTTGAGTAATGTGAGCTTAAGAGCCTGAATGTTTCCCATTGGTTGGCAGCACTGTGCGCTAGTTTGTCCTTGTGCCTTATCAAATCTTACAAAGTACAAGGATCTGATCAAAATTTTAAATCAAAAATCTCTGAAATTATCTCAGGACAGTGCTGTTTAGTCTGCTATATGTACAGAAACCCTACAGCCTGATTGATAAACCTCTCATCTCTCAAAGCTCGCCTCCTGTAAACTAAAATGATTTTACAAGTCAAAGATGTTTTTACTCAAATGGTTTCTGTCAATACAGTTTTTTCTTATCCTGCTACCCATTCAATCCTAACTCACCCACAGACTTACCAAGATTGGTACAAAAATCTGTAAGTGCGTGAGGGGAACAGACACAACCCAACCTCAGTCACAATCAAACATGTTGGAATTTATTTTGCCCAATCGGGTCAGGTCACATGAACTGGTTACATACCCAACTGCAAACATGTGTTACCAGCAGCCTCTGAAAAAAAAAGAGGATGGGACACAGAAAATAGCATCGGGAGATAATGGTAAGAAGCGAGAATATGATGTTGGTGTGAAAATCTGCTTATTTGTTTGCTGAATTATTTTTTCATAAATGCAGTTTTTTTTCCTTTGTTGTTATGCTGATTTATGTCTTTTATTTATTCAGGAGACTTTAGTATCGATTAGTTTCTCAGTCATAAGGAGCTATTAGGCCATGACTGACAGGAACACTCAAAAACAAGTCATTAAACTTTTGATAACCATGAAAAGTCACTTCAACCAGACTTAAAAAATCTGTTCTGCTGTGGTGTGCACGGACTGACTCGGTCTGCTTTAAAATAGGAATGTTTAATGTGTGTTTGGTTCAGGGTATAGGGAGCAATGAGAGCACCGGTGCTCCAACAACTGTTCCTGCAACAAGAGTAAGAGGTGTGTTGTCCATCTTTTCAGTCCATGATGATCACCAATTCAGTTTTTTTGAGCCCTAGACTCAAATAAATGTTCCATTGTATAACCAGAGATCTATAAACAGTCTCATTTAAGTTTGAAGGTTTTAGTCCACGGATTTATTTATTGTACTCCAGAATATTGTGAAGGAATACACTAAGTGTAAATACCCTGTACCCTGTTCTTGCCGATCTCCTTGTGTGTTTGGGGGTTTTGATCAAAATGTTCCTTTTGTGGATGAGTACATAAGAAAGTGGCTCAGATGGCGAGAGAGAAAGAGAGAGAAAGAGAGAGAGAGAGAGTTGCACATTTCAGGGGTAATACATGACATATGATGTGGATGGTTGGATTTTAATTGCCTTGAACTTTTATAGAAATCCCTGTTGGAATATTTTTTGTGTGAATGTCTGTAACACAGTTATCAACAAAGTTATTAGTTGGTTTTAGCTGACTCCATCTGTTGACTGTCAACTGATGCAATACGAGGCAACTGCTAAGAATTACTGAAGCGCTCACACTGTCTATATTTATAAACTGGCTGGTCTCTCTCCCTCTCTTTTTTTAAAGCACACACACACAGAAAAACACAAGCTCACGCACATACACACACAAACCCGCCTTTACAAACACACAAAGATGCAAGCAAACCCACATTTGTTTTAGCCTGCAGGAATTAATTTGAGTGTTTAGCTCTAAAAGATTACCTGTAAAAGTCAACTATGATGATACTAAACACCTTCCTATTTATTCCAGGTTGATATCAGGTGGGTATATTTTCAGATTTCCTATAAAAAAAAACCATGCTGTTTAATGTCACTGTCCAGGACGAAATAGTGTGTGATTTAGTCTGTCTTCTATCCGCTGTAAACATGATTTAACCATACCACCAATAACATCATTGTCTGTATTGATATTTTTCATCAAATCTGTGCCAATGCCCTCACCTTCTCTCAGCTTGCTAGTTCACGTCAGACAACATAAACGGTCCTGTGTGAAATATGGTTTAAAACTGGCACATGGCAAAGCACGGGGTGAAAACAAGACAAACACACACGCACACACACACAAAAAGTGACAGCAGACGGGACAGGGGCAGTGCATCTGCTGTTTAATTAAAATGAGAGGGGGGGCCACAGACAAGGTCTGAATCAGGATGGGGCCCATGTGCACAAATACACATTCAGTTACATACACAGACGCGCAAACACGCACACACACACACACACACACACACACACACACACACACACACACACACACACACACACACACACACACACACACACAGTTACAGATGAGGGGGAAAAAAGCAGTAAATGTGACAAACTATGTGTTGGTCAGTGAGGCAGGAAAAACCTCTGAAAGATAAATAAGATATAAGACGATAAAAATACACAATAAAGAAGATGAAGCCACAGAAATCAGCAGTACATGTATTAACATCTGAAATAGAAAAAAAAAAGATACTTACACCTCCTCTAAGCTGAGAATGATTAAAAACTTGATACACAGACAGAAAAATAAAGAGATTCAGCTAAGCAAAGCAAGAGTCAGTGTAATCAGTGATATCATATCAAATCAATCAGCACAGACCAGTCTGCCTGCTAACACACAAAAATGTGAGTTTCCATTTCAGGTGGAAATACTGAGAGTTAATGTACACAGATATGAAACCATCCTACGGGACCCCAACCGTTCAATCACTGGACACTGGACATTATCCCTTGTGTGTTTGATGAGCTTTGTTTAGCAGTGTGAATGACTTGTTGCCCCCAGAAATTTGCTAGTTGAAAGGTGATCTACTTCTTCCATCTATTTGGGCCCATTCAGCCCGAATGACAGGATGGATGCCCTCATATTTTAATCATTTTTAGCAGTACGCTGACACACAACAGAGATATGTTTTTATTGATGTGGGTTGACATAAAAGCAAAAACCAACAGCAGAGCTACTTAACAAATGTTTATGGGAACTTCATGTAAAAGGGTGGTGGAGAATGTACCAACCAGGGAACTTTGCAAAAGAAATGACTGAATAGAAAAAGAGATCAAAATAACTGAACTTAATGACTTCATAAGTATGTGAGCTCGTGGTTACAGTGATGGTTGCTGGGAAAGTGTTTCATTTCATACATAAAAGATTTAAGACCAAAGACTTTTTTGATTTTGTTTAAAGGCGGGATATAGGGCAGTTATATACTGTATAATGTAGTTTATATGGAACCACAAGTTTTTTATTTTAAACATATTTTGAGGGAGACATACACAATAAAAAGTATGAATATGTGTATTTGTGTAAACACATGTTTCTCTGCAAAAGTGTGTGTGCAAAAGAAATGTGTGCTTGTGTGCAACCAAATCCATAGGGTCTCTCTGGGGAATGTCTCTCTGGAAGAGAGTCAAACAGAGTGAGCAGGACCCCATATATCTACCGTGACTAACAGGATTAAACCTGACTGGGTAGGGAGACAGATAAAAAAAAGGGTAGGGTGGGGGGAAAGTGTGAGTGAGTGAGTGGGAGAAATCAAGTTCTCCTCTTTCAAACCGCTGAGAGGAAGAGAGAAGAAGAAGAAGAATGAAGTTATGAGTATCAAAAAGAGTTTGCCAAGATGAGGAGGAGGAGGGCAGAAAGGGGGAGATGATCAAAGGAGGATGATCAGTCTGGCTGAGATGGTGGAGAAAGCAGTGTGTGTGTGTCTGTGTGTGTGTGTATGCGTGCATATGTTTACATACAGAATGTGTTTGTGAGTACCTTCCACTGCACTTTCTTCTACATTGAAGAGTGATGCTCCTTCCATTAGCCCTGCAGGGCATATATCCAACCTAACCCCTCCCAAGAGCAATTTAAGAGCAATTTAGAATCGCTTTCACACTTTAATGCCCCTAACACTACTGAGCACGCACACTCATACACACACACACACTCACGGACACACAGACATATTCTGCAGGGAGCATAAAGGCAGAAAGCACAGGTCAGCAAGATTTGCTGTTACTAATCGTACAGAATCTAATATTAGATTAATATTTAACTATATTACTCAACTATAGAGCAAGAGAGAGGGAGAGAGAGAGAGCAAGAAAGAGGGGCGACAGAAAAAGAGAGAGAAAGATTAAGTGTGTTTCTTGCAACATCCCACGCTGGGTAAAATATGTTTTCCATAAGCCTGTCCTCTGCAAAGTGTGAGCCCTGCTCAGCTGGGTTTATGCATTAACAACCTGCAGAAACTCATTTAGCACCAGCACTGCAATCTCACTTAACACAACATTTGGAGATGCTATATCTCTCGATATGGTCTGGGTGTTGCTCTGCAAGATACTGAACCTCCTGGGAGAGTTTAGATTACTTTCCTGCAGGGATCTGTTGGCTCTAAAAACTGTTGTGACTCTGAGATTTTGCACCAAGAAGTAAAAAATAATGAACATTTTTGCTCACCGATGATTCACAGGAGTCTGTTGGGTGTGTGGCTTGTAAAGTGGATAGTGAAAGTCAAAATAAATGTCCAGAATGGATTGCAAGATAACAAGTCAATAAGATCTTCTGGGAGAATTTTTTTTTTTTGTCTTTCTAAAAAAAGACAACTTGAATTTAGCTAAATAAAAATGATCACTATCAGTACTCTAGCTTAACAGAGGGCTAGAAAGAGAGAAAGTGAAAATCCTTCAACACAGTATCACGAACTTCAGCAGTGCGACATCCACTGTGCTGGAGAACCCTTCAAGTGAGAGGAGAGCACTTGATCTGCTTTCTGAGGACAGCTTAGAAAAACCAAAGATCAACATAAGGGAGAATGCCGAATGTTTAACCTGATCAACCTTGGTCATATGTCTCAAACAAAGAGAAGAGTGATTTTAAGTCTCAGCCTTAAAGCATGCATAATCACTCCTCCAAGGTAATGTTGGAGCCTCTGTCAGCCTCTCTGCGGTATTTCTTATCACTGTAACGGCAACAAAGCATGAATCCTTCCCTGCAGTTGAACCTGCAAGGAAATCTTTGCAGTCAGATACAATGTGAGGAGGAATTTCAAGTTGTCATAAACGTACACACAATCAAGTGGAAATTTAGATTTACTTAGGGCAGGAAAAACAAGCTGAAAATGTTTCTTCCTCTGGGAAAATCGTGCTGTTCCCCAAAGTTGCATACCTCCTCTTGGTTAATGTGGAGAGACAGGAGGGAGAAGAAGGGGACCTGGAGGAAAATAAGGCAATCAGTTGTTGTTTCTGCAGAGATTGATTTGTCACACATGCACAGACACACTACAAACACATGGTTCAAGACACAATGTTGTAAAAAACCTCTTCACTCTTTGTAATTCAAAGAACCCATGAGCTGCAGACAGTTTAAAGGTACTATCAGTGTTTTTTTAACTATTGTTGACATGGAGCCACTCTTAAAAAATAAAAACAATGACAATAAGATTTGCAATTTCTTTGTACTGAATCCTGAGCCTACACCTGATTGGATTTCAGCCCTTAGTGGGGTCGTCATGTTTAGAACTCAGCTGGTAAAATTTGGCAGTTAGAAGTAAGCTAGCAAGTAAGTTTTGTCCTAAATGGAGACCCTGGATAACCAGAGCTTTTCAGAGTAAAAGAGGGAAATGGTTTTTAATATGTTTGTGCTGGCATGTGAAAAATGAACAAATGCAAAAGATCTTCATTTCTTCATTTCCTTCAACAACAAGAGCCACATCTTTATGACAACTCATGGGGAAAGCAGTCTTTGTCCCCAAAGAAACTACCTGTTGTTGACAATGGGATTACCAGAATTGACCCAACATAAACCTTTCTGACAGCACCTTTAAGTCAGCTGATGGAGCATCAAGCTTTACGGTCAGCTTGGAGTAGCAGTAATGGGCAATCACATCCACATATAAGACGAGTTTGAATATAATGGGATAAAATTTGCTTTATTAGCCTCTTCAGGAATTGAGATTTACTCTTTTTAAGTGGAGTTAGGTAAACTAATGAATTTGTATGACAAGTATGCCCAACGGTAATAAAATGTCCAGATTTAAGGCACATTTGCTTCTTTAGTACCACAAACTCAACTGCTCTATTGAATATTAAGACTGCAAACCCTCTCTGTGAGGCCCCTGCATGTGCTGGACTAGATCTGAAGAGGTACTTTGATTGTCATACCTGAAAGTACAGGTCATCCTGCTCTTTTTGAAGACATAAGGTTCCCTGTTACAGTTTAATAACAGGAGAAAATAAAAGTAAGAGGGCTGTTGTTTAGGAGAAGTGGGACATCTTGACTTAAACAGAACATAGGGCATTGCCATACAAATAAACGAGAGGTCACAAAAATATCAACACACCTTTCCCAGAATGGGATGATTATTTTCAGTAGGTAGGATGAAGCACTTCTGCAGGTATATAGAGCCATCTGAGTTACTTTTAAATATGAATTTTGCAGAACCAGATATGACTCCATGCCTCATTCGTGACCCCGCTTTACCACAGCCGGTCAGGAGTATGTGGCACAACCTGCAGATCCTACAGCAGTAAAGTGAAGCAGAGCACTGCCAAGATGCTCGGTTGACTTCCCCTGGGTGAATAAAGGTTGATCCCCTATAAACACAGATGACTGATACAAACACGAAAAGAGATTATGTAGCACTCGTATCCTACACAGACTGCCGCAAGGAATCTGAGAGGGGAACTGGAAAGTGGAGATACTATTATAATGGGAATAAATCAAGCCATACTCTGGGGCTTGAAAATGAAACCTGACGTGGGCCATAAATCTTCAGGGATGTAAATAAAGCAGAAGCAGAAATTAGATATTAGTACTTCGATATTAGATGACAGTGCTGCACCAAGTCCAAGATGTTCCTCTCTTTATCAAAGTTTTAAAAAAAAAATCTACGAATGACTTGCACGCTCCAAGTAAGTGGAAGATAGAGAGAAAAAGATTTATGGAGCCCTGTGGAAAAGGGCAAAAAAGCGAGATTAATGCAGACGGTAGACAGAAAAAGAGAGAGGGAGAAAGAGACAGGGATTATGGGTACTTTTCTTTTGCGGCCTCATCACAAACAAATAAGCTGATCATCAAGCCAGGCAATTAATATTCAAGGAATTAGTTTTCTTTTTTAAAGAGGGAGGACGTGGGGGAAAGATTTAGATTCTTTCCCCCTTTTTTTTGCAGCATGAGGATCCATTTTGTGAGCTTAGGCTATAAACAGCTTGAAATCACTTTGACAGCCTGCTCTATCTCATGAAGTGCACACACACACACAAATACACACACACATACCACGGGGGATTTTAATTTCAACCTGTGAAATTGTAATTGCCTGTTCTGTGATACGCTAAGGATTCTGGGAAAGATGAGTGCAACTCTTGTGTTTAAATTGTGCCAGTCAGTTTTCTTTCTTAGCTTTGTTATTCATTTATTGATTAATTCATTTTTTTTCTTCACTTTCCATTCGTTCCTTTCTCTTTCTGTGTGTGCCATCTCCACTTTTCCTGCGCTCATGCTCTCCTGTGCACAGACCTGTTTGTCTCACAGCAACGCGGCACGCTGGCAGAGCTGACATTAAATTAACTAGAGCCGTCGAGACGGGGGAAAGGCGGCCAGGAAAGAAAAAGGAGAAAGAGAGGAAGAAAGTAAAAAGGGAAAAAAAAGAAGTATAAAGAGGGAGATAGTGATAAAAGAAAGAAAAACACACTGCTGCTGAAACCTCCCGTGACACAATAATGTGATGAAAATGTCTCAAGGGCATTTGTGTGCCACAATTTTTTTATGTCCTTTTGTTCTTTTTTTATTTGTGTCTGCTCTCGCTGCGAGGCTGCCCTATGAATGACTTTTCAACTCTGTACGTGTGATTGTTGTTTTGCAACATGTCGGAGAAACTGCTGCTATGGAAGTGTCAGCAAAAGCGGCGCTAAACTCTGGAGCAAAGAAAAAACAAGAATCAGGCAAAACAGGCATGAAAGGCTGGCTTGTGTGTGTGTGTGTGTGTGTGTGTGTGTGTGTGTGTAATTAGTTGTGATATTAAGTCATTGCTAACCTGTCACAGCTCTACACATACACACACACACGTATACACACACACTATGAGGTGAAGAAGTGCCTATTAAATAACAGCTCTGTCTTATCAGAGCTTTAAGAGAAAACAGGAAGAAGATGGATTATGCACATGCAGAAGGGGGGGTGAGGAAATGACGGCCTGCTGTTGAAGAACTGTTACACCACATGTTTCTCTCAATAAGCTGCAGATGTCTCAAAGTATCAGTCAGTGACTTTGTCATTATGTCACAGCCACCAAGAGAGCTGCGTGTCTTAATAAGAGAGTTTGAGACAGCAAGATGTTCTGCAGAGTACCTGCAGAGCATCCATGTCTTTAGGCCCAGATTCAGAGGAATCGACCTGTCGGGTTGATGAGATGGAGTGAGGGGATGATAAGTTCATCAGAGCTGCCGGTGATAGCAAAGGTTGAGTGTTGGCTCTAAATATTCACATCTGGATGGTGAACTCCGTCTTGGCCTGTCCTGCAGTGTATTGGTCTATAAAGTACATAGATTAATTTTTTTCTGCGGGTTGTCGTTGCACGTATATGTTAACTCTGATTGATATTTATAGCAATTTCTTTTTTTTTCTGTTCATTACGAGTGGACCGTTACCAAGGCTACAACTCTAATCACAGACTCCAATGGGCTAATTGAATCAGTGCAGGGCACTAAGGTTTGTTTACAGTGGTGAAAAAAGGAAAAAAAGCACAGAAAGTAATAAAGACTACTACAGACTCCATTGCATGAAGGTAACACCCAACAGAACTCATTATATGATATAGCTGTTAGAGGACCAATTACTCGAGAAGAGAAAGCCACAGTCTCTGACAGCGGTGACGTAGAAAAGTCTGCCAGGTTGTATTGCCTCGTGTAGACCTGTTTACCTGGTTTTACCTCATCATCAGCTGAAATGTTAAGAACATGTGAAGTACAGCTAAGCCAGCTAATTTTGTAAAGGGTGCAGAGTTAAATGAGGCTGAGCTGAAGATCAAGCAGGGAGACCTTCCTTACGCAATCATAATTCATATCAGTTAGTATTTTCTATCAGAGTGTCTATCTCCTTCACTCTTCTCATTACAGGATCAAGACCCTTTGAAGTATTCACTGACCAGGCTTTGCTGTGATCTTTATCAATCAATTGTCCTGTGCTGCTAGACTTTCAAAAGTTGAGGAGTCATCACAAACCTGTAAAAAAGATCTCTTTTCAGACCGAACTCTTACGACACAACTCAAACTGCAACAACAATGAACTACCCAGGTCAAATCTGGGTCCTGCTCACCCTCTATGCATAATCCTTCACTCAGACTTTGGGATACGACTTAACTATTAGTTGTTTTACAGCAAACGCCAACACACTGGTCTTAAATATGCTGTGCATTAATTTTGATTCTGTGTTTTTCGGTTTTAATGTCTGCGGTCTATTCATGAATTCTCTGAAATAAAAAAAAAAAAAAATCAAAATTTTAATTTTCTAAATCATTTTCATGAAAAGTTCATTTCAATGACAGACTGGACCGACTCTAGAAGTCTTGAATATCTGGTAAAAGTTACATAATATGTTTGTGAGACACTGAATTTTAATCTGACTTCAAATTTAAGCTTGGTGAAAACCTGAGTTGTTTCTTTAAGATACGTTCACATCACAGTTTGATGTTGCTGCTGTCTTTTTTCATTTTGAGTGGCAGAAGCACATGGGAGGGGACACGCTTGTCAAAATCTGATTGCAATCACATGAAACCATCTCCAAATATGGCCTTAATCAAATTTGCTAAGAGCTTTTATCATGTGTTTTCTGTTGTTTGCACTTCTTAAAATCTATCCTGACAGACCCAGAAATGAAAAGCATATGTGGACTAGCAGCTTAAGTCTTGTCGTTTGGACGGACACAAAAACTCTCTCCACATTTGACCAGACTAACTCTGTACTAACATTTTGAATAAATTTAAAGCAAAAATAAGTTACAGTTTAAAACGATGCTCAGGCTTTTGTTCAAGGCAGATGAGTCATTTCTCAACACTGTTTATCAAGGTTGCACTGAGATCCAGTTTGTCCCTGCAGGCAGCTCAGAAGAACAGTTTTATGCAAATGTGTCTTAAGCACATAGAGTTCGTACATATTGTGCAGTTTAGGATTTCAGCGGGTTTTGATACGGGTGTAATGCATTCCAAATATGTTGCTTGGAAATTCATGTGATCAAATAAGTTTAATTTGAACATTTTCACGTGATGCCTTTCAACTGGGATATAGGACAGGAACATGATGCAAGTTAACAACACTTGACTCATCTAACCCTGAAAAAGCCCTTTCAGCCTCTAATGTTTGACTGTGATGTGGTTCAGCAGTGTGACACGTCTTCAATTAGTGCTGCTTGTCATTTGTCGGGTCTTGGCAGGAAGCAGCCAGAAGTCCCAGTACTTGTGACTCTTGTTCTCTCTCTCTCTTGCAAGTACTTTTATAGCTCTTTTATGGGTCTTTCTCACATTATAACTCTCCCTCCTCCCCCTCCTCTCATTCACATCTCTTCCTCTTCCTTCCCTATCGCTCATTTCTAATTAGCAGCAATAGATTAGTTCCACCATCATTTACAGGATCTGCCTGCCCTGAGCTTGTGCGTCTGTCTTCATAATTCCATCAAACATCAGTTGACAGCCTCTACCCAAAGTCCAAACATGACTTTCCATTGATTTTTCCTCCATTCTAATGATTTTATGACAAGGTCGTATCGCAATATCAGGGGGAGCTGTAATTGACTATCAGGCAAGTGAATGAATGAATGAATGAATGAATGGTGCCTGTAATTACAAGCAGGTTGTGTCAAATAATGATATGTTTAGAAATGTTGCAGGGAAACATTCTTACATGTATTAAACAAGAGCCTACAGCCATGTTAGCGGTTCTGTGCAGCATCGAAAAGCACTCTAAAGGTTAAAATAACCTGCCAAGTTCAGCGGTCCCACCAGGATCACCAAAATTACCAGGATTTCTACCCTGAGAACCACAAACATTTGAATTAAATTTGTTTTTCACCTATCTGCTGGTTTTATAACACTTAACAAAAAAGAGAGAAAGTACCAAATAGTGGCACAAAAAGACTGTATGGAAAGAAGAATAGCATGACAGCTCCTTAGAAGTGAAGACAAAACATCTTGAATGCCACTTCAGACTGGTTGTTGAAAGCATGGGACACGAGTTTAATGGTACAATCAAAATACATGTTAAAGGTGCTG